GCTACCCATGAAGACCACCTGGAAACTACAGTTGGTCCAGAAGGTGGCCATATGAGCAATTACAGGTGTTCCTTGATTTACCCATGTAACATTTCTGTGCTGTGAGCTGCCAATGGGATTCTGGGTGCAATTCATAGTGTTGGCTATCATCTAAAAAGCCCTACAAAGGCTTAGGATCTAGTTTCCTTCAGAACTATCTTTCTCTTGTCATTTCCACCTGACAGATTTAGTAGAGTTGGCCCACTTCAGAGCCAGCTGTAAAGCCTAGTCACCTTGTGGCACTGAGGAGACATGCCTTCTTTGTAGCTTTACCTGCCCTTTGGAACAGCATCCCTCCTGAAGTCTGAATGGCCCCAACACTGTTGGGCTTTCCTAAAGCTATGAAAATTTAGCTCTCCAAGCAGACCCTGGGATAGAGTATAATGATTTATTCTCTAGTAGTCTGTCCTGATGGGTTCAATCCTTTTGAGTTGGTTATCATCCCAACATATGGTTATGTAGCATTATTGTTTTGTTATTTCTACCACTTTATGGTTATTTTAACCCTAGTATGTAAGTTGCCTAGTTACTTAAGTGATTCAAGCAGTAAATAAATAAATAATAAAGGTTAGGTGCTCTTTAAGTCTAAATTCAGCAGCAAGCAGAAATAATCCTAAGGAATAAATTGGATTTTCAACTTTCAAAATGCCTCAGTTGTACACAGACAGGTGCTAGAACAACAGTTCTTATATTGAGAGCTAACCTAGCCTGAAGCTTTCTGCACTGCTCTCAAAGGGTCTGACAGTGCTGTTTTTCTGCTAGAGTCGAAATGTTCCTCTCCCACTCATTCTGAATATGAATTTTTAGCCTATAATCCTTGAAATATTTGGCCAGGCCAGGCAACCTGTCTGCTATGCTGTTAGTAACAGCAATAACAAATAATTCTGTCTTTATAGTAAGCATTAATTTTGGAACCTGATTGAATTAAAAAAGTATTTTAATAGACAGTGGTATCATTAGGCATTCCTGAATGACTCATTCCCAGAGCATTACTGATTCTGTGCTGTAAAGCAAGATTTCTATGGGACAATATCGATGGTTGCAATGATATAATTGAAAAAGAAGATAATTCAGAAAGAATTAAAATCATAAAGCCCAGGTGAGCTGCCATGGCACTGTTAACTGCCTGTTCTTGCAAATATTTGTCAAAAATATTGCATTAAGAGTATCCTGGATATTACTATATAAAAGTAGCCCAGTCAGGGAAGGATTTTGGAAGGGAGAAAAGGTTTATAAATGATATATGATTTTGTGGATTTGGTCCCACTTGCATAACTGATCTGTGGAATTCAGTGCTATATGATGACTTCTAATTTTGATGGCTTTAAAAGATTTGACAAGTTTATGGTGCAACATTATCAATTGTTTCTTCTCATAATGGCTATATAATGTTCCTATATCCATCACATCTCTGAAAACCACTTGCTGTGAAACAGCTACCCTTGTCCTGCTAAAGGCTTTACATTAGCTATGTAGCTGGCAAATTAAGAAATAGGACAATGGACTCAATAAATTGTTAATGTGATCCAAGACTCTTCTTAGTTAAGATTTGGGAATAGCTGATACATCATAACCTGTTATCAGAAGCTCCTTATCTATAAAGTGTGAGAGACGTAGCACCCATCTCACCGAAATGAAGACTGTCGGGCACTGTTGCTTTGTGTTGGCTTCCCTTCTTGCTTTGCCTAACCCCTTTTCCTAATAACCAGCCGAATATTACAAATGGGAGAGCTGCTCCATCCCCCATTTATAGTTTGTGATGCAATTCAGCCTATCCTAGTTTAGATATTACTGATCCACTTTGCCAGACAAGTAAATGCCCATCCCTCACTCTGGTTCCAGCTTGTCTGGGAGCTCAGTACCAGCTCCTATTATTCTGAGGTTTTAGGATATTAAGCCAACAGCAATTTGAACTGTTCCACTACCAAGCATCTCAAATGTCATTGTGTTCTTTTAGTAATTCTCATGGATCATTAGAAGCTAATGGCTATAGTTTAGTTACAAAGCATATGCTTGGCATGCAGAAGCGTTTACGTCTCCAGGTCTATGACAGAGGTGGTGGTGCTGTTTGTAAGAGCATAAACACACACACACTTTCATAGATCAGCTGGAGGCTGAACTGATCCTTCTCTATCCCTCTTTGTGTATGTTTTTACCCCTCTTTTTTCTTCTTTCTTCTTAAGCTGGGCATTATGCCCTGGGCATAGCAAGAGATGAATGTAATCTTTTGCCTCAAACTGCATTAGATTGACCTCAGGTTAGAAATGTAGTGTTCCCACACCCTTAACAAACCTGTTCCCCTCTCCTACTACTTTCTTCCAAGACTTGATGCAACACGAACATGGAAGCTCCCCTTGCATTCTTCATTTTAAACTGGCATTTTCTGCTTTAACCAGTCAGCTGCTGCTCTTAGCTAAAAGATCTCTTAGCTAAAAGATCTCTTAGCTAAAAGATCCAAGCCCATCCCTGAGTCCTAGTCTGGAGCCCTAGACTCTGAATTGTTCATGTTCAGCTCTTAACCAGTGGCTAGCACAGCTCTCCTGAAGCCTGGTTGAGGTAACCAGGAAGTGGTAGTAAATTGCAAGGAGGTGGCCAGGGCCAGGTAGTATGCAATGTAGACAAAAGCAGCAAAAGCCAGGAGGAGCCCAAATAGCTTTGTTGTTCCTGTCATTAGCAGAAAGACAGAACAATTTTGCACTCCTTTGCTCAGGAAAGGGCTTCCAGCAAAAAGTCAAATTTATCTTTTCTAGTGATGGGTAAAGGAACAATTTCAGACTTTATACAGCTGTCATCTATAGATGGAAACATCCTTCCATTTTCAAAGAGATATTCTAATTGTGGAGTCCTTGGGGTTCTCTGAGCTTGGTTCTTTTCTTGCAAATGTTTCATTAC